TATGCCAGTGGTGGCAAATCTATGATACATGTGCCACAGATGGCTGTTTATTATCATCAAAAGCTCTAAAAGGTTCACCATCACTGAGAATTACCAGAAGTGCTAATTCAACTACCTCAGCCAATTTCCTGTTTTATCTCAGGCAATATGATCATTAAGTAAACAGTGGGCAAAGTTTACCATAGCACCTGCAGTTAGGCATGTGATTCAAAATATTGACTCCATCAGTTATTAGCTCTTGAGTATTTAAACAGTTTTCCTACCTTGTTCAGTTTGTTCAACTTTAAGAGAAGTATTTCCATTTTTTTCTTCTTTGCTCATTTTTTTCCTTTCCCTTCCTTTTCCCCCCCTCCCTCCTTCAGTTTCCCTTTCCTTTTGAAGTTTCTTCCTATTTCATATTATCTATTATACATTTTGATCCTTATTTACCCTTTCAGTTTCTCATACCAGAGAGACAATGCTATATTTACAGATGTGTCTGATTTATTTCACTGAAAAGTATAGTCCCAAATTGCATCCATTTAGCTATAAATGTCTTGTTTATCTTTCTTTATGGCTCCATTGTATTTTTTTAAAAAAAACACATCTTTTTTATCCATTCATTGGTTGATGGGGACTTGGGTTGTTCCCAAGCTTTAGCTATTACAAACTGTGTCACTATAAACATGGCCACGGATATATCATTGTAGTATGATGCTTTTAATTCTTTCAGGCAGATACTCAGAAGGGGAATAGCTGGGTCAAATGGGACCTCTAATCCTAATTTTTTGTTTTGTTTTGTTTTTGGTACTGGGGATTGAACTCGGGTCCTTGCACTTGCGCAGCAGATGGCAAAACAACTGAGCTAAATCCCCGGCCCCTCTAATCCTAATTTTTTGAGGAATCTCCACACTGATTTTCACAGTGGTTGCACTACACTCCCACCAATAGTGGAGAAGTATTCCTTCTCCCCCCACAGCCTTGCTAGCATTTGTTGTTGGTTGATTTCTTAAGAAGTTATTCTTTCTGGAGATGTGATCTCATGTTGTTTTAATTTGCATCTCTTGGATGAACAGTGATGTTGAACATTTTTCATATATTTATGTGGTATTTCTACTTCTTTGTCTGAGAAATGTCTGTTCATTTCAGATGCCCATTTTTGGATTGGGTCTGTAAATTTGGGAGGTCTGATTTTGTTTTTTAATTTTTTGTATGTTCTAGATATTAGTCCTTTATCTGAGGGACTACTGGCGAAAATTTCTTCCCACTCTGTGGGCTGTCTCTTCAGTCCATTGGTGATTTCTTTTGTGGTGCAAGACTTTTTAATAGGATGAAATCCCTGCTGTTGATTCTTTGCACTATTTCCCATGCAGTCTGGGTTTTGTTCATGAAGTCATTGCCTACCATTATGTCCTCAAGAGTTCTACCTCTTCTCTCTTCCAGCAGATTCAGAGTTTCTATTTTAATATTTAGGTCTTTGATCCATTTTGATTTTAGTTTAGTTCATGGTGAGAGACATGGGTCTAGTTTTAATCTTTGGCATTTAGAAAGCCAGTACCATGAGTTAAAGAAGCTATATTTCCTCCAGTGAGAGTATTTGGGCCCTTTGTCAAAAATAAGGTGGCTGAGTGTGTTTGGTGTTGTTTCTGCATCTTCTAGTCTACTCCATTGATCCTCAGGTCTGTTTTTTTGCCAGTACCATATTGTTTTTATCACAGTAGCTCTGTAGTATAATTTCAAGTCAGGGATTGTGATGTCCCCTGCCTTACTTTTGTTGCCGAGAATTGAGTAGCCCATTTTTGGATTAAGTCTTGTTTTAGAGGGGTGTCTAATTTTTTTTCATACTTTTCATATTCTAGCCATTAATCCTCTGTGAAATAACTGGAAAAACTGTTTTTCCCATTCTGTAGGTATTCTCTTTACTCTTTTGGTTGTTTCCTTTACTGTACAGAAAGTTTTAAATTTTATATAATCCTGTGTTAATTTTTGATGGTTTTTATTGTAAAATTGGGGTTCTGTCTTAAATAATTTTACCCGAGTTCGATCCCTGGTACCAAAAAAAAAAAAAGAGGGGAGGGAGGGTTAAAGGGAGAGGAGGGGATTGGGAGAAAAAGAGGAATCAAGATACACAATGTACAGTTACAAATGCTATTTGATGAATATGATCATTATGTATAAATTATACCAATAAAATGTTAAAAAACAAAAATGGGCAACTGAAATAAATGGACACCTCTCAGAAGAAGTACAAATGACTGATACGTGAAAAAATGTTCAACATCTGTGGCAATTAGAAAATGCACAGTAAAATAACACTGAGATTCCATCTTACTCCAGAAAGAATGGCTTTCATAAAAGAAAACAAATAATAAAACATTCTGACAAAGCTACAGGGAAAAATGAACTCTTCTATACTGTTGTTGGGAATGTAAACTAATACAATCACTACAGAAATCAGTATGGAGATTCCTCAACTAAAACTAGAAATGTCATTTTACCCAACTCTTCCCCTACTAGGTATCTTCCTAAAAGAGTCATCATATTAAGTGATACATGCATACCCATTTATAGCAGCACAATTAATAGCTAAATCTCGAAAAGTCTATATATCCATGAATAGATGAAGAGATAATGTGGTATTTATATACAAGGTATTCCATTAAGACAAATGAATCATTTGTACAAAAATGGATGCACCCTGAGACCATGTTAAGTGAAATAAATCAGACCCACAAGATTAAATAATGCAATGTAGGAACCAGTCTACAAGCTTAAACCTGACCAAGGGGTGACGAAGATGAAAAATAAAGACACAGAAACAGGTTAAAATCTGGGGGGCCAGAGGAACTCATACCTCCCTTCTACATAGGGCCCCAAGTTAGTGGCACACCTTGGGTTTATTCATTCAGACATGCGCACAAGCAATTAGGGTTCCACAGGATTTATGTGTCTCCCACCTTCCACAGTACTTCTCCAGGTAAACAATTTAACCTCAGGTGTTTCTACTTTTCCCTGCAGTGTATTAGCATGCTTACATGAACTCTTTTTTCTCAGTGCTCACTGAGGAGGCCAATTAGGCCTCATCTGATCTCCCATATTGTATGGTTTGTCTTATGTGAGAAATCCAAAGTATACATAAAGAGCAAAATGAAAGATAATAGTAAACGGGGATAGTTCTGCAAATGGGAAGGGGATCTAGAGATGGAGAAGGATAGAGAAAAGGGAAGGGCAAATAAATAAAGATTTGTCATATGCACGTACCAACGCCCCATGATGTATGTAATCATTATGTACTGCACATATATACCAATCAAAATAAAAAGTGAATAGGCTACAGCAAAGTGCATTTGGCCAGGGCCCTGGCATGAAAGAAAAACCAATCTAGTTATTTCATGCAGAGGAAAATTTAAATAATAGATGTCAATAGGAGTAACAGAAAGACGTTAGAGATCATAAGGTACTTAAAAACTACCCTTGGCTGGAGCATATGGAGCTACACCAGCTCCTGTACCTTTTGAAGATCCTGTCACTGTCATACTGCAACTAATAAATGCCATCTTGACCAAGGAAGGAATTCCCATAGTTAGGAATAACCTACACCTCCACTTCCACTATAGAAGTGGCCCCAAACGGTCACATTATTGAATCCAGAAGCACAAAGTTACACTCTTCCTCCTGCCTTTTAATTTTCTGGTAGTGTCTCCTACTGGCAGAACTTTATGGGAAGTCACTGAGGCCAAGAGATAGCAAGATAGGTAGACAGGGCAAAGGCTTCAGTAAACTAAGTAAATTAAGTAGGAAAACTTAGTACTGAAGGCCAGGGCCTAAGTGAACTAAAGTTAGAATGTAAAGGACAAATGACAAGTCCCTGAAGAAACAAGAAGCAGCCTGGGAGGACTGGACCCTAGTTCACTGGGGTACATCCCCATCTATTGTTTGCTTACTTTTTAATTTTGAGACAGGTTCTCACTAAATTGCTGAGAATGGCCCCCAACTTGCAATTCCCTCTTCAGCCCCTGGAGTAGCTGGGAGTACAAGTGTATGCTACCATGCCCAGTAAACTATATTGTCAAGATTAAGGCCAAAGAGAAGAGTCAGGGGTGATTTCATGGAACTGGCCTGAGGAAAGGGGATAAAGAACTGTCCTACTTACTGTGTCAGGAACAGTGGAGAAGGTATGCACTGTATGTAAAATTGGTGAAGAATCAAAAGCTCTAAAGTTAAGTCTATTACAAATACAAATGAGAAAACAGGATGTAGTTACATATACCCTTTGGAATTCAGAGTAAAGCCCTACTGCATTTGAACACTTAAGGGGTCAGGGAAGGGAGAAAGATCCAGCAAAGCAAAATCCGGAGGACTCAAGTGAGCTAAAGGGAAAAACCAGAAGAGTGCAGGAAAAAGGAAAACAAAGAATTTCCAGAAGATGGGGATGATAGACGTGTCAACTGTTGCTGAGTGAGCAAAATGAGACCTGAGACCTTTCACTGAAGTGGCATGGAGAAATAGGAACCCCCGAGTGGTGCGAGTTCCCTTTCTGGAGTTCTATAAAGACGAGAAGAGGGCCAGGGATTTAGCTCAGTGGTTCCGCCGCCTGCCTCGCAAGCGCAAGTACCGAAGTTCGATCCCCGGTACCAAAAAAAAAAAAAAGAGAGAGAGACAAGAAAAGTGGGATAATATGCACAAAAGGGAGAATTTGAGGGAAAAAATACAAGCCTGGATGATGATAATGTTTGAGTGCAAGACGCTGGGATTACAGGAGATGAAGGCCTGGTTTTCTGGCACCAGGAGAATAACTGTAGAGGGAATTCTTAAATTCCATCCATGCTGCGTCGTCAGCTCAGCTAAATTCCTAAAGGACGGAGCCGGGGATACGAGAAATCACCAAGGGACGGTGGGCCCTGTCCCCTCTTCTCCACTCATCCGGAATGGCCCGGCCCCGGGACTCTCCACACGCTGGGCGGCGTCTGCCTCCCAACCCCGCCTATTCGGCCACATCTGAACAGCCGGAGAGTGGAGCAGGAAGGAAGTACCCAAACCGCCTCCAGGGCGTCTCGGTGCGTGGATCGCGTTCCGTCTGCGCCTGGCGCTTCCTGTCTGGCGTCTGACCCTCCGCCCCGGCTCGCCCTGCGCGCCTCTCCCCTCCCATCTCGCTACTAATTTCCTGTTGGAGCCACTCTGTTCTCAAGCCACCCTGGGGCTCCTCCACCCAGCACCACCATCCTCCTTCTTCCACCCCTACACCAGAACGCCCCTCCTGCCGGGAACAGCCCCGAGTCCGCCCCAAAGGCTTCTCTAGCCTAGCTCGCTGTCCGGACCAGAGGCACTAGGCGGGGCCTCGCAGTCACGTGGGCCGTCCAGGCCAATGGGCTTGAGGCTTGGGGTGAGCTCCGCCGGGTCTCCGTGGGCGTTGGGACTTTGTCCGAGGTGGAATCTGCGGCCAGGGTCAGCTGTGGCTTCCCGCTCGCAGGAGGAGAGACAAGTGAGAGGACAGACAGGCGCACCCGCTCCAGTTTCCTTCTCGCCTGCCACGCACCTGTGCTGCAGCGCCCCGGGACCTCGCCTTTCTCCTCTGGACTAGCCATGGAGCGCGAAGTCCAGCGGCTTCGGCAGGGGTTCCGGTCCGGCCGGTCGCGACCGCTGCATTTTCGGCTGCAGCAGCTCGAGGCCCTGCGGAGGATGGTGCAGGAGCACGAGAAGGACATCCTGGCGGCCATCGGCGCCGACCTGTGCAAGGTACACTTGGCTGCGGGGAGGGTCCTGGACCACGTCTTGGTACCACCGGCTTGGGGACCGCCTTCAGCCTGAGCTTTTGCTTTTTCTTCTTTTACTTATTTCTGAGGTACACCCCCCAGCAATACAGATAAAAAATAAGTTTCCTGCCGACTTTCCAGATACTCTAGCCTTGCTGAGAGCCAGCCTATGTAGCTGCAGACACATTGGAAGTGCATACGTTTCCTGGCTTCCGTAGTTATGTGAATTGTCTTTAAATTCTTAATTATTATATTTGTGGCCTTCTTGTCCATTTTTGTGTTGCATTTATGGTCCGTTTACTTACGATTTCTAGGAACTCTTTGTGTAGTCTGGATGTCAGTAATTTATCAGCCCTGCGTATGGCAGATATTTTTTCCTGGGTCTGTTTCTTGACTTATAACTTTGTTTATGGTTTCCTTTGTAGACAGCGGTGTTTTAGGTTATCATTTCACGCCCATATTTTCCTAGTGACTTCGTATGGGACAATGTTAGCTCAATGTTCCTCAAACTCTAGTACACTGACAGTCACTTGGAGATTTTGTTCAATTGCAAATTTGTGGTTCAGTTAGTCTGGGTGGGATCAGAGACTCCAAGTTTCTAATGAGGTTTCAGGTGATACCATGCTGCCTCTTTTGGAAGCACACTTGTGTTTAGGACATGAATGTGCAATATTCTTTGTATTTTCTAATAATGTTTCTTTTTTTTTTTTTTTTTTTTGAGGTACCGGGGATCGAACTCTGGTCGTTGCGCGTGCGGCCTTCCTCAGGGTTTATCATTATCCCTTCCCCAAAGATTTCAAGGAATACTGACAGCAGTGGTAGTAACACTAGTAACTAAAATTTCTTTTAGAGTGCCTTTGGTGGAGAGGGACTATGATATTAAGACAAATTAAGTCGAAAGCCTGTATATCATTTATTCTACAAGTATCAAATATTTGTGTGTATAATTACTAAAGAAATACAAGTTCTCTTCCCTTGAGAGTTTTAAACTTAGTTGAGAAAATGTGAATATAGTTACAAACCAGTGTATCAGTAAGATAAAGGTCAGAAGCATATTTGCTATGTAAAGTATGATCAAAGTAGGCTGTTATTCAGGGATAATGTTTAAGCCTAGTTTTAAAGGGCTTGGATCAGTGCAGAAGGATTTAGAGGCATTGCAAATATTAGAAGGGAAGTTTAAGAGGGTACGAAAGGAATCAATCTGTATAGCAAACCACCTAGTTTTGATAAGGCATATGTATCTGGCCTGAGGTTTTTGACATCCAGGACCACGTATATCATACACATTTTGCAAGGTTAACTGTGATTCTCTTTTACCAGAATGAATTCAATGTATACAGTCAGGAAGTCATTACCGTACTTGGGGAAATTAATTTTATGCTGGCAAATCTTCCTGAATGGGTTACTCCTAAACCAGCAAAGAAGAACCTGTTCACCATGCTGGATGAGGTCTATGTTCAACCAGAGCCTCTAGGAGTCGTACTGATTATTGGAGCTTGGAACTACCCATTTGTTCTCACCATGCATCCACTGGTGGGAGCCATCGCTGCAGGTGTGGTGCCAGCTATGTCTTTATACCTTCATAGAGGGGCTTATTTTTTTCATGTTGATTGTTAATTAAGGATAATGGCTAACTAAATACATTTATTTTGGAGGTTATGTCTTGCCTTGGTTTACACCAGCAGAAAACAAAAATATATATGTATATGTGTATATGTATTAGATATTTATCTGAGATTTGTATGACTATTTTTTGAAGTACTTGGGGAATGAATCTATGAAGGCGAAAGGCATCTGATTCTATAGGCAGAAGAAGAATTTGAAGTCAGGTATCTATGTTCTAATATGGTTTTAATTGCTATCTCTGGCTTTGGCCCAACCATCTGACTGTGCCAGATCAGTATCTTCATTCAAATAAAGGCTGTGGGAGTAATGCTGCTTAGGTGTATAGCAGGTGACTAGAGATTAATTTCTTTGGAGGATCCAGATGGACAACTTTGTGTTGACATACCATGCTTAATAATTGAGGTCAGAGAGGAAAAGCCAAGGGCAGAAGTAAGAGAAAAGTGATAGAAGCCGGAGGAGTGGGAAAGGCAGATGGAACATGTTGTCAGTGACCTGAAGATAATGAGAACTAAGGAATTAGCAGATGAGAGGGAGAAAGTGAAAAGAAAAACTGAGATGAGTCCTGATGCTCATTATGAGGAAAAGCAGAATTAAGAGGTGGAGAAATAATTGGAGTACTGTACCTAGCCTGTACTTTCTACATGAACATTATTTTTGGTTAAAGTTAAAGTTAATCAAGTCTTAAATGATACTCTTCTACTTTTTATTTTGTTTAGGAAATGCTGCAATTATCAAGCCTTCTGAATTAAGTGAAAAGACAGCCAAGATCTTGACTAAGCTTCTCCCTCAGTATTTAGACCAAGTAAGATTATCTTGCCCCATCTTCAACACATCTGTTTATTGTGGAAAAAATACATTTGATTTTCTTGTTGGTGGATGGCATTGCTCATTGAGAAGCTGTTTGCAGTTTCCATATGCTGCCAACAGTGGGCTAAGAAGTTCCAAAGTATGTTGTGAAATAAATATATTGTTGCCCAATATATTTAGGCCCATAGCTTCATAAGTATATCTACTATTTACAGATCTTCTACTGTTTGGGATTTCAGATTAATCCTTATTCACATTTACATATCATTTTAGATTTACTTATTTAATGAATTAATTAATGAAGGGCTGGTACTGTGCTGCTTACCAGCACATTTTTGTCACAGACACTTTTTTTGTTCTATCAGACTATCATAATATTGTATAAGAGAACTTTAGCTTTAAAAATGTGCATGTTTGTGATATGAACCATACAGGAAGAAAGTGGTCTCATGAACCAGCTAGAGGATCTTTACACTGGATTAAAGTACTGTTGTAGAGTATCAGAGGCTGTATAAGAGGAGTGATTTCCTTAGCTACAGGGTGGTTTATTGCTCTGAATCAGAGGTTCTCTCGTCCTCCTAGGGAGCAAGTTTATGATTAATTTGCATAGACATTTGCTGCAGGAAGGAATCTTTATTTAGCTTTCAACAAAAGACAAATATCCTAGCTGTACTGAACAAGTTAATTTATATTCTAGCTGTATTGGGTGTGTTAATTTATAATGACCTTGAAGCCAACTCTGGCACTTGGAATAATACTGTTCTCTGTTACCGTGACACTGTATGGCAGTCGACAGAATGATTTTGTTTTGATAGCTGTGGTTATCCAATCTAGAAGGATAAAGTGGAAGATAGTGATTTACAGCCAGAAAATGAAAGATGGTCCTGCATTGCCCCTAACCAGGAGTAAATTTTTCAATTTGTCCTCATAGGGAGGATAATAGTGTCCCACCTGCTTCAGTTAGATTGTTGGGAAATCAATCACATATGCTTTCTAGATTAAGCCATAGAAAAGTTAAAACTTGAAACATGGTAGGTGGTTAAACTAAGAAGTAAGAATTAGCCTTTCAAGCAGAGCGTGGTTGTGCATGCCTGTAATCCCAGCACTCAGGAGGCTGAGGCAGGAGGATCACTGGGAGTTTGAGGCCAGTCTGAACTACATAGTGAGACCCTGTCTCAAAAAAAACAAACAAAAAAGAACCAAACAAAAAAACCCTCAAACTAATTAGCCTTTCAAAGAGCAGGAGATCAAATGGAAACACAATGTTCACAAGCCAGCTTTCCTTGCCATTTGTTCTCATCTGTTATTTTTCATGCTGCTATTGTCCAAAGTGTTTTCTCCTTTAGAGTAGCTGCTAATAATAGCACAGTGCTCAGTCCGTAGAAGCTATGTGAATTCTCCCAATAACATAAGAAAAACTAAGATGCAGAAATGTTCCTGGCCTAAGGTCACATACTCTAGTGAGTGGAAGAGCCCAGATTCAGTCCAGGTATACATTCGACAAACAGACTTGGTTTCTACTTTGGGTTAGCCCTGCTTTGTGTTGTATAGAGAAAAAAAACCATTCAAATTAAGACATGCAGCTAGCTGTGACCTGTCTGGTGGTCATTGACGGCAGCTACTTCACCCAAATTCTCAGCATCCACACCACACCACACTATGTCACACCACACCCATCTCCTGCATTTCCTTGGTTGTGTCCAACCATTTGCTGTCATTTGTGCTCATACTGAAAGATTAGACTCTCCAGTTAGTTTCTTATAGGTTGATGGTTCCCAGATGCCAGCAGACTTTCTCTGCTTGTCCTTGGTCACCTCCCTTTCATTGCTCACAGAGACTGGTCATTGGTCTCCTATTTTAACATGTTAAAGAAATTACTGATATAACACAAAAAGATTAATTTGGCAGTACAAATGTATGTTTCTCTTTCTTTGAGGAACTGTATGCTATTATTAATGGTAGTGTTGAGGAAACCACAGAGCTTCTGAAGCATCGATTTGACTACATTCTCTATACGGGAAATGCTACAGTTGGAAAAATTATCATGGAAGCTGCTGCTAAGCATCTGACCCCTGTGACACTTGAACTGGGAGGGAAAAGTCCATGTTATGTTGATAAAGATTGTGACCTAGACGTTGCTTGCAGGTAAGATTGGCTCTGGTTTTCTGAGGTTTTTCCCTGCACAATTGAGGGTTTTTCTGATAGGCTGATGTTATCCTTTGCATTTGAACCCCATGCCTTAAATTAAGCTTTTGTGGTTGATATGCTTAAGAGTAACAGAAGTCTTTCACAAACTCTCTTTTGCTGTTGTTGAACCACATGTCCTCATATCAATGTGATTGTCATTAGGAATTGGGGGGAAAGTTCTTTCTTTTTTTTTTTTCACTTTATTAAATTCTTTTATTGGTACATTGTAGGTATACAACACAATTACATTTCTTATTGGGAATTGTACCTTTACATAATGCATCTTGGTTCTTATTTTTTCCCCATTCCTAGCCCTCCCTTCACCCCCTTTACCCTTCCCTATTTACAAAGACTTTATTTCCATTTTTTTAGGGGGAAGTTCTTTCTGTTTTTGAGATTATAGATAAATCTGGCAAGAAATTTTAAAGATTTGCTAGTAATTGATCAGGAAGTAGGTAATCCAAAGTGTTTCCTGTACTTAATAAAATTAGGTTGTTTCTGCTAAGGCAGGCTTAGCTGTCAGAAAGTACTAAAACCTAGAACTGCCTCTGCTCTGGGTGTGTGGCTTTCTCTCTCCTTCAGATATGGGGAGCCACGGGAAAGGTGAGGAAGTTAGGGCAGGGTTACAGGATTTCTTTGTTCATAGAAGCAGGATTACCAGAACAGGAGACTTAGAGTAAACTTTGTGGTTGTGAGGTTGTGTCCATGCATAGGAAGGGTTTTCAGAGTGGGAGAAGACTCCATGTAGAGGGAAGTGGTTACAGGTGCTGGCGGAACATTGAACATCTTGCCAGCAGATCCTAAAGCCACAACTAGAAGAAGCAGAGTCTGAACTGAACTCTTGTGATGCAGGACAGCTGTTTAGCTGGAGAAGCGAGGGAAAGGGGTGTTGGAAAGATGTTTATTCACTTTCCTGAAGCAGGGAGTGGGTTCACTGATTATCAAGTCCTATTTCTCCAAGCTGAGAACTTTCCTCCTGTAGTACTTAGACTGTTTTACTTCCATTGGAAAATACAATCTAAGTTCTAACCAACTATTTTAGAGATGAGTTTATTTTTGTCAAAGAGTACTGGGGAAATATTTGGCTGGAAAACACCACAAAATTACATAACAAGTGGAAATTTGACTTAATCTTTCAGCTCTTCTGGGTTTTTTTCCCCCTCAGACGCATAACCTGGGGAAAGTTGATGAATTGTGGTCAAACATGCATCGCTCCTGACTATATTCTCTGCGATGCCTTGCTCCAGAATCAAATTGTGCAGAAGATTAAGGAAACTGTGAAGGTCTGTTTTCAATCCATCTGATTCCACTGATTTCCGTAAGACAGGTGTTTGTAGGCAGCATTGTTATCCCTTCGTCCTGTAGGAAAATTCCAGTAGTATATGTGACTGAATTAACTTACTGGCTAATTGGAAATGCTTTGTGCACCTTTTACAGAACGGGAGCAAGGTTAGGTTGATGTAAATCCACTCAGACTAACTAGTTGTTTGTTGATGGTTATTTGTGGTATATACTTTAAGAGAAGTTTAATAGCTGTGTCTGTGGATTTGTAAGAATACTACCAGTTCCTTGAAGTGTATTCAGAGACACTTTTGGCATATTGGCCTTTACTGATTAAGGTTATTAGTTCTTAAGTATGTTAAAGGCCAAGGATGGCCAGTATTGTAAAGGAGTGAGTCAATGAAATACCTACTTCTGACGTACCCTTTAGATAGTTATCAGTCTCTTCAAGTGTTTAAAGGTCTATATGAGGGAACCAAAGAAGGGTGGGTGGTAGTATCCTAAGCTACGACTTGAAGGAAATGTAGGATTTAAGTTGGCAGAAAGGAAAGGGATGACCAGTGTTACTAGTTTTAGGGGTAGGAGGGGGTCACTAAGCCCCCTTGCTGAAACAAATTATTGGAACAGTCATTGCTCACCCAACCAGTGATAATTGAGCATTAAAAGAAAATATAAAAGAGTAACATATGATCAGAGAATGAAAATTGTGTACCAGGAAGTTTAGGGAGATAGGGTGAGGTGCTCAGATCTTGATGTGAGAATTAGACATTAGTGTTGCAACTGATGATGGACCTAGACAAGGAGAACGTGAAAGTTGGCCAGGGTTAGGGAATCTGGGATGGAAGAGGGAGTGATTAAAGATATCTATGAGATTGAAAATACTGGGGAATTAGAAAAGTGCTTAGTTGAGCATAGTGAGGAACTTAGTCCCAATGGAAGAAGAGCCCCTCTGCCTACATTTTGAGGCATTTATACTACAGCACAGTGGTTCTCAGTGGAGCTACATGTTAGTCACTAGACAGCCATTTAAAAATGAGTTTCTAGTCCATATCCTCCAAAGATTCTAATTCAGATGGTCTAGGGCCTCTAGGTGATTTTGTGATGCAGTCAGTATTGAAAACCATTGTTGGTGGCCCTGAACCTGGGACCTCTGAACTTACATATCAGCAAGCTGCCTGGGTGATCCCTGCCACCCACACTTGAGAGTTGGTTTTTAATGGTGGGGGAATAATGATCATTTTGCTTTGAGATAAAATTCAGAGTTCTTACAAGGCTTTGAAGTGATACAGCAATTCAGTAGTTTTGGGTTTGTTTTACCTAATAAATATTGATTATATGCTTCTTGCAATAGTTTACCAAAGCTGTATTCTGATCTTTTGAGTGGTTTCACTATTATCCATGACTAGTGGAAAAACTACTCCAGAGAAAACACAAATCAACAAAATAAATCGATTGGCAAACTTTCTTTGAAGGGCTGGGTAGTAAATGTTTTAAGGTTAAGACTAGAGGGTCTTCTCAGCCGCTACCTATTGTAACTTATTGCAGGGGAAGAGCAGCCACAGCCAATGTGTGTGCAAGTGGGTGACCCAGATTCAGAGGCAGGCTCTCTCCCTGCCACCCAGTGCCACACTCACACTCAGGAAGACTGGGTAGGCTGCAAGAAACCCACAGAACCTCATGGAAGCCATAGATCTGTTGGGGGAGGGTGATTTATTTTCTTGTCTTTTACTTGCCGAAAGCTTAAGCTTGCTACTGCATTACTGCTGAATGCTGGGGGGAGAGTAGTGTTGGATTCTGTGTGGATATAAAAACAGTTCGATTTTACAGCATGGATGAGTTTGAACTTAAAGCAAATTGAAATGTGGGTCTTTGTGACAACTTGTATTATTTTCAATAGGAATTTTATGGAGAAAATATAAAGGAATCTCCTGATTATGAAAGGATCATCAATCTTCGTCATTTTAAGAGGATACAAAGCTTGCTTGAGGGACAAAAGATAGCTTTTGGTGGGGAGACTGATGAGGCAACACGCTACATAGGTAATAGAAATTCATCCTTTTCTGTGGGAAGATGGCAGTTTGTCAGTTTTACTGACTCCACTTATTGACCCCAAGTAAACTATTATTTATATAGTGTTTTATTACTAAACTACTAAATTTTTTTTCTAGTATACTGCTTTTCTTAAAAACTAGTAAGTGCATATATGTGTATACATGTTTAATAACACCACTTATATTGTACTAGTTTTTTATATTTATACATAATCTAATTTTTTTCTCCTAACATCTGAGTTATACTCATCTGAGAAGCAGATTAGAACTTTACATAATTACTTCTGGTTCATGAATGGGAAAATAGTACAAGGGAGGAAATGGCTTCACCTCAATTCCACAATTAGCCAATGACAGGACCACTCGGGAGATGTTTTGATCTTTTGTGTGTGGCTTTATTATTTGCTTATCTTTTTTGTATTTTTTAATTTTTTTGCCATGAATATATATTGCTTTTAATATTAAATACATTTTTCTAAAATAATGTAATAAAGTGGCTGAAGAAATGGAGACGTTTGGTGGGCAAAGAAGCTATCCCAAATTGCTTTATGTATTCCCTTATCAGAATACCATGAGTTAGGGCTGGGGATTTAGCTCAGTGGTTTTGCCACCTGCTGCACAATCGCAAGGACCCGAGTTCGATCCCTGGTACCAAAAAATAAAAAAGAATACAATGAGTTAGCCAGTCCCCAACTTTAGAAAAGCAAAGGGAGCTAGGTGTGGTGGCACATGCCCATAATCTCAGCACTGGGAAGGCTGAAGCAGGTGGATTGCTGCGAGGGTTACGTAAGTGAGTTCAAGGCCAGCCTGGACTACATAGTGAGAACCTAGTTTAGAAAATAAAACAACAAAAATAAAAAATGTAAAGGAATAATGAGAAGTTTATTCTCTTATAATACACAGTCCTGAGCACTCCTGGTTTGGGTAATTCATGCCATCAAAAAAAAAACCCCGAATGCCAATTCTTTCATCTGTGTGTTCTCCCATCTCTGGCATGGTAGCTTTGTCCCCTTCTAGGCTAATCAATACCAAGAGGAAGGGTCTATCATGATTAGCTTGTTCTGATTAGGACTTCCCCTGAGCTGGAGCTAGGGCACCTCACTTGAGCATATGATGATGCGCAGGAGTTGGATGTACAAACCAAATTGGTTCTGTGATCTAACGTGGGCAGTGGGTTTTGGGGAGTGGTTTATGTACTCGCAGAATGTGCTGCAGAGAGCTAGCCTTAGCCATGTTGTCCAGATAACCTGGTAGAAACTAGAGGAAGGAGGAAGAGTCAGCTTGTTATTGCCAGATATCTTTTAGTTGACCCACTGTATTTACAAGGTTCTGCTGAATGGTGACCTACACTAGCATGGACACTGGGACCCTCTACACAGCTTCCTCAGCCTCCCTTTTACTCTCCCTTTGTTGCTTTCCCTTTTTAGACAGAACACTGAACTCTTGAGGAAATCTTGCCTACTTGATCATGTTTTCTTAATCTGTTTAACAGTTATACTAAAGATCAGTGAGACAATGTACAGAAAAAGCTTGAGTTAAGACTCAGTGTTGATTTGATTCAGACTGTCTGTGCTTCCAGAAAGGCTTGGGAAGATGTAAATACGACATCTGGTTCAGTATGCCTGTGGCTATGAACAGGGTTGCATGAGAAGAAGAAAAAGATATATCTGAGTATATATCTTTCTTTTGATTTGCACAAGGATCCTCTAATTCACTTGCTTTGAAGAGACTTACTGGCACCATTCAGTCATTACTCAGGGCTCTTTTTCAGTTGGAAATCAAACCCAGGACCAGCACATGCTAAAAGGACCTTTTTTTTTTTTTTTTTAATAGATGTAACTTGGG